CAAAATACAATAATAACGAAGAGGAAAAACAGGAGACATTAAACGTTTATGATAAATTTTCTTACAAATTTTCAAAAGAGATACCTCGAGAGAAAGAGAACTCGAGTTACTTAATTATGTCTTGGCTAACGAAATAATAAGTTTCGATGATTTACTTTCGAGGCTTGAAATTGAAGCCAGCAAACGCAAAATTAAGAAGATTGAATTGCCAAAAGACGATGAATTTTTCCGTCATTTCACAATTGCTGGCTCAAAAAATAGCGGAAATAAAATTTTAAAGACATTAAGTATTATATTAACAGATCCAGTCGAAACTGTGACCGACAACGAAAAAAAAGTTGCAGACTTATGACAATCTGCCATAACGACCCAATAAGTGGAGGACATTGCGGACTCAAAAGACTGCATGCAAAAATTCGTACTAAATACTTCTGGAAAAACATGACCCTTGATATATCGAAATTCGTAAAAAGTTGTGAGAAATGTTTACTGAACAAAGTTAAACCTAAAAACAAAGAAAATCTGGTTTTAACACCAACACCTAGTAAACCTTTCGAAGAAGCCAGTAGGCCCTTTGCCAGAAACACTTGTTACCATAAGTTCGCTGTCACCATAATCTGCGATCTCACAAAATATTTAGCAACTATCGCGATACCAGACAAAAGTGCCAAAACTGTGGCTTCAGCTATTTTTGAAGGCTACATATTAATGTACAGCACAATGAATTCTATTAGAAATGTTTTAGGAACTGAACGGAACGAAATTTTTTTCAGAACTTACAAAACTTTTAAATATAAAACACAACTTCTCAACAGCACATCATCACGAAACCGTGGGAACGATTGAACCCAACCATAGAGTTTTTAACGAATATTTACGCGCCTATTTGAGCGAAACATTTTCTGGGACACTTATTTAAATGTTTCACATTTTTACATAACACAACGCCTAATACTGTATTTGATAAATTTACTCCTTTCGAACTAGTTTTCGGCAAAAAAGCAACTTTACCGCACGAATTTCGAACCGAAAATATAGACCCGACATATAACGTTGAAAACTATGCGAAAGAGGTTAAATACCGCATGCAAAAATCACATACAATAGCCAAAGAATTAGTTAATAAACATAAAGCCCGTAGTAAATAATTATACGAGAGACACTCTCGCCCAGTACAAATAAAAAAACATGATCTAGTTCTAATAGGAAAAGAGCGCAGGGTCAAACATGAATGTATATATCAAGGGCCACACGTGTTACAAAAAGTAGATGGTGTAAACGTTACGGGTATCGACAAAACCAAAAATAAATTAAAAACGGTTCATAAAAACTGCATTCAAAAAGTCACATAACTTACTTTTTTATGAATTTATTTAAAAATACTAGTGAGCCTCAAAATTTAACCCAAAATGAATCAGTCACGTCACACAATATATAAATACAAACTATTATTAGAGTTACAAACTAAGCTGTAGAATTAATCAAAATACGTACATGTGTATAAACATGCCAGACGCATGAATTGTATTTTAAATCTGATTTGAAACAACAACAAAAAAATCTTTTTGAATGTATGTATATCATCAAACCAAATTTTGGCTTAATAAACCATACACATATGTATATTTTATAAGGCATTAATTTAACACAATAGTCACATTAAAACAAAAAAAGAGAAGCAAATTAGTAGAATACAAAAACTGAATATGTATTAATTTTTATACAAATAGTTATGTTAATTCATATTTAAAAATCCATATATTGCATACGGTTAGCAAATCAAAAAAAACTTTTAATCTCATACTTATGTATATTCTTTAATATCGAATTAATATTTTAAATTACAATTAGCTAAGAAGATAAAATAATAGTGGTAATTATTTAATGGAGCGTTTTTGAACTCTATACAATGGCTGAAAATTGATATGGACGAACGTGTTAAAAGGCAAGCCTACTCACCTTCCAAAAATCTTTTCTCAAGGAGGGTGATGTAATGGCATCGCTAACTATACGGCAGCACTATTCAGCGCCGTCGTAATGTTGGTAGCCATGTTGGAACATACATTCCACAGGTACATATACGAATGAAAAAACGAATGTTCAAATCAATTATACTTACGCTTTCAACTTATACGGTCATGCCAAATTTGAAGTAAAGCTCTTTGTAGCGAATAAATAAAAACTAATTTAAATTTCACTAACGCAACAATAAGTCTTTCCATTTAAAACGGAAGTAGTAACGCGCGCGGATATTATACTGTGATTTGATTAAAGATAATAATTTCTGCGAGCCAAATAAATTTCAACAGACGAGTAAGCCCCTGCAGGAACTTTTCGGAAGACAAGCTTTCTCAAGGATGGATTTTATGTAAGCGAGTGCCATCTCGCAGAAAGTGTTTTAAGTTTAAATGAGCGGGCTGAGGGCCCAACACCAGATCGCCATCACTAATCTGTGGAAGCAGGAAGGTGTTTAAATTGTTCCTTGCTAATATGCAAGCTCGAGACTTACCTACATTTGGTGCGGTCATAAGCTTAAAGCCCTTCATCCCAACCCCGCAGATTTGTTTGCCATGTATTCTCGGCTACTGGATGAGGGCAACGTCAAGTCCACCGGCAGCCAGTCGGACCTCAAGGTTCGCAGACGCCAGTCTAGTGTGGTGGAGGTTGATCCGGATCAGCTTCGTATGAATCTGTCCACTTTACCTCCACCATTATGACATCCACGTTCGAACTTCTCACCCGGATGAGCATTGGCTGCTGGGCAACCCTGCCGTTGCGCAGGCAGGACTTGTCGCCCTCCTCAGTAAGATCCAAGCTCGGCTCGTCGCTGCGCCAGTGGAGCTAGCGATTCGGCGTTGAGGATCAGGAACACCTGACTTCTCTTTTCTACCGGCTGCTCTATCTTCCCTACGTTCCAATTGTGAGTTGGCACGTCCATATTGCAGGATCTAAAGATCCGCTATATTTTTTCAGGCTCATTGGGTTTAGCCGGAATCCAAACTCGAGCCCTCGGTGTGCTAGGAATCTCCTCCTTGCTGACGGCCTCGAGCTTGGCTCCCAGCCAAACGTCACCTACCTTGCTGACGGCCAACCTGTAGAGCTGGGATGAACTATGGTCCTCGCAGGCGATGGGTTTTAGCTTTATCCTGATACCATCCGGACTCATGGCAGAGAGAAGGTCCAGGGTTTTCATCTAGGACTTGGAGGTAGATTTCGGTAATCGCTTCCTCCACCAAACTCCACTTCTCTTTGGGGGTAGTACCTTCCTCCTCACCTCTGTCGATGATGGCCAGTACCTCACCGCCAACCTTGACTACATCTCTGAAGGAGGGGTATTTATGCCGCCTGTTTTCGGTCTTTTGGTGACCCTATCCCTGCGTGTTCAGCAGATCGCTACCTTTTTGGAGCAGTGACTGCCGGTTGGTCCAGGCTGGCTACTACTCCCCTCGCCCACTCCAATGACCCAACCTGCTCCTCCGTAAGCTGCTCTGTCGACAGGTCCCCGATCCTGTTCACGACCCTAATAGCCACCGTTTTATCATAATAGGCCTGCTTCGCGGGGCGGACATGTTTAGCCGCCAAAGCCATATGGCTTTATTTCAATTTATATTGAGAAATAAAGCCATGTTTTTGCGTATGGTCTTATTTCTCGCTGTGAATGCGAAATAAAGCCATTATGGCGTTATTGCACCTTTGATAATGTGTACCTAGTACACAGCTGGTGTGCATACTCGGTAATTCTCTAGTTGAACGTACAACTTGCAAAACAAAAAAAACGTCCAACACTGTCCGGAGGGGTACTAATCGACAATTTTTTTCTCTGTATTAACAATTCGGAGGGGGCGGTTTATATTGTTAACCATGTAAAAGTTATTAAAAAATACTTTTTTGAAATGTTGCTCTTTTTATGAGTAATTGCAAGCTCGAAAATGCACTAAATCACCAATATTCTATTTTGAAACACTAGCAAATTATATTATTTGAAAACCGTTTTCAAAAAGTACATAAATTTTACAACAAAATATTGTTTATTTTGTTATTAAAAACCAGGTAAACAAAGCTCCCGAACTGAGTCGAGAAAATGCAAAATGGCGTAAAGTGCTGCCACTTTATTTGTTATTCGTAATAATTCAGAATGTTGAGTACTTTTCGGTTTTGTCATTAGCAATTTTATACACACTTTAATTTTATATATGTAAGTATATCTTACAGATTTAAAAGAAAATCTCATAGATATATATATAAGTATGTATATATATTTGTATAGATATATGTATGTACGTATGCACAGTTATTTTTTTTAAATCGGTGAGATGCATAATAAATTTAGGTATGTTTAAAATTGTTAATGACAAAACCGAAAAGTACTCAACATCATATATATATGTATATCTTCGTTTAAAGTACAAAACTGAAGCTCTTGTCGCAAGCCTTGCCCATTGGTGCTGAAATATACTAGCCAGAAATGCGATTGCTTTATAAAAGAGAACAATTTTGAAATATGAGTGATTTTACTCTCTGCAAAATAATTTATGCAACCTCACATACGCGGTTTTGCGTTATATTGATACGCGGTTTTACATAATGTTGATACGCGGTTTTATACTTTAAACGACCATATATATGTAGATATATAAATATATCTTACTGATTTAAAAGAAAGCCTCATATATGTACATATGTATATCATCAAAAGCGAGAAGAATGAACAAAGCAACAATTTTATACGAGGCCGCGCGGCGCGTTATCTTTATACGCGGTTTTGCATTATGTTGATACACGGTTTTATACTTTAAACGGCGATGTATATATATATATAACTATATCCTACTGATTTAAAAGAAAACCTCATATATGTTCATATGTATATCATCAAAAGCAAGAGGAATGAACAAAGAAACAATTTTATACGTGCAGCGCGATCGCGGCGCGTCCGGACGGGTGGCGCGGAGCGCGAGTACGGCGCCGGGTGGCGAGCCAACGCGGACCACAGGTAAAGAGACAACATTTACTTTTTGTATTGAAACAAGATCGTATGGCTTTATTTCTCATATGTTAAATGTTTGCTTATGGCTTTATATCACTTTCACCTATGGTAGTAAGGCGGCCGGCTCTTCTTTTGGGTGCTGAACTCCGGACGTGGACAGACGGAGGGCTGGTGGGCGACTGCAGGCTGGTGAGGATGCGGCGGTTCGTTGCTGTTGACCGTTGACTCCGGCGATGATGGTGGATTTGGCGATAGTGGAGGGTTTGGCGGTGATTTCGGCGGCTCTTTGATGATGGATGGTGACGATGGGCGATAATCGAAACTGGGGTGGTACTTGCGGTGGTGGGGCTGCTGCACTTCCGTGTAGGAGGACGTGGCGCAGGCGCTAGTTCGCGGCTGCTTCCTGGCGCATACACCAGCGACTTTCAAAGCGAAAAATACTAAGAGGTGGATTTTCTTCCGCGCGCCTGTAGTTACTCGCCGAGAGACTAATATGACCACTCGAAATAATAAACTGAATGTTTATGCTTTAAATTTACAATTTTTCTTTATTAAAACAAGCTATAAAAGGTTATTCGAATTTTAGAAAAGATTTTGCGACCGCACGTAAAGGTGATTGGAAAAATTCTGTATCTAATTTTTTGTTTCTTTTTTTGACATTTGCTGCTTGCACTGTATTAACGACTTTGGCGTTGCCAACTATGCATTTCAATATGAAAATTTCTTTAGGTTTAGGGTTAACAATTCTTATCAATTCAATATGAGAAAATATAGAGGGTATTAATTTGAATAGCGCAAAACATGTAAATTCAAATTTAACAATTCAAGGCATAAGAATATAAAAAGTTTAACATTTTTGAATAACTCAAGTTTAGCGTTAACAATTTTGAAATGATTTAACTTTTAGAATTAACAATTCAATGAAGGAAAATATGTTTACAAAGTTTGAGTAATTCAATTGTTGAAGAAAATTCGCATTAATTCAGGTAATAAACATATACGTTGCAAGGTATTAAACGACAGACGTTTCTATTCTCCCGCACCTAGGCGCGCTAAGCGACTATACTGTTCTCTAGCTCCCGCAGTTTACGTATTGCATCCCGGAGCAATTTCCTGGACAGCTTTCCATTCGCCTTGGTGATGCGGATTCCCTGGGTGGTGGTATTGATTTTCTTTGCTCTTTGTCCCATATGCGGGTGCTTGTGCTTGTTAGAGCTGAGTTCAGTACGGCGTAGACAGTGGAGACGATGTGCGGTAGGCCTTTTGCGCGATGCTGGAGCGTGGTGTTGCAGAGAGTTTTTGCTGAGTGCCGTCTTCCGGTGAAGTAGGGTATGGTGACGCTGACCACATAGCCTGCAGATTCCAGCGGAGGGACAGTCCTTGCTGTGATGCGATAAGGCGAGGCAGTTGGTGCAAAATTTGTGTGCACGTGCGACCAGATAACGTTGGGTCGGCTGCATTGCGCGAAACACTTGGCATACCCGCAACGCGTGATTTTGTGCGCACAGACGGCATCGATTGAAATCGGTGGTTCCCTCTTCTGGCTGCGCCGCTGGAGTTGTGTCAGTCGTCATGCCTACTTCGGACCACTGCGGTTGCTTAGGCTGTAGCGATGTTCGAGGTGCTGGTTTCGGAGTGCCACTGCTGCTGCAAGTATCCATCTGTAAGTAAGCCGTGGAAGTTAGACTATCAGTGGGGAGTCTACCAGACAATTGAAGAAACGTGGGAGNTGGCTGCGCCGCTGGAGTTGTGTCAGTCGTCATGCCTACTTCGGACCACTGCGGTTGCTTAGGCTGTAGCGATGTTCGAGGTGCTGGTTTCGGAGTGCCACTGCTGCTGCAAGTATCCATCTGTAAGTAAGCCGTGGAAGTTAGACTATCAGTGGGGAGTCTACCAGACAATTGAAGAAACGTGGGAGCAGAATATTTCATTCATATACAGGTTTTTAAATACATATGAGCTAAGAGAGTCTGTTGTCATGAAAGTGCTTAAAGGCTTTAATTGTGGCGCATTTGGAGAAGTCAGAGGGGCGTCACCCATTGGAAACGGGCATATTTTAACTATGGGGCGAGTAAGGGTGCCAGATTGGGTGCGCACATCGACAACTCGAATATGTCCGTCTCTGGCGGGGTGTGACCTTTCGATACGGCCTAAACGCCATTCAATGGGAGGTATAGTATTGTCAACAATAAGAACGCAATCGCCGACTTTCGGCTCTGCCTGGGTATTTTTCCATCTATAACTCTTCTGTAAATCCTTGATATAATCCTCTTTCCACCTTCGACTAAACTCGTGATGTAACACCTTCACTTTTTCCCACCTATTAAGGAGGGACAGATGGCTGTGGTTGACTTCAGGGAGTGCTAAGAGGGGGGCGCCTCGTAAAAAGTGGCCAGGCGTAAGCGCTGTGAAGTCTGTGGGGTCTTGGGATAGAGCAGAGATTGGCCGGGAGTTTAATACGGCCTCTATTCTGACTAACAGGGTGGTGAACTCTTCAAATGTGAATTTGCTGGGTCCAGCAGTCCTTTTGAGATGCATTTTGAAACTTTTGACTGCGGACTCCCACAAACCGCCCATATGGGGGGCTCCTGGCGGAATAAATTCCCAGTTGATGCCTTGAGGTGAGTATTTCTGGATGACGTCTTGAGATACCTCCTTCAGAAATTCGATGAACTCCTTTTCGGTTGCTCGTTTGGCCCCGACAAAGGTTTTGCCATTGTCGCTCATCATCTTAGCGGGATAACCCCGTCGTCCGACGAAGCGAGCAAACGCAGCGAGAAATCCGGCAGTGGTCAGATCGGAACACAGCTCGAGGTGGACTGCTTTTGTAGTGAAACATACAAAAACAGCCACATAGCCCTTCACCAACGTGTGCGATCTTAGCATTGAGGCCTTTATCTGGAAAGGTCCAGCAAAATCTACGCCCGTAATAGTAAAGGGCGGAGCATACGTGCATCGTTCCGAGGGGAGGGCCGCCATTATTTGCGATCGCGTTTGCTGCTTGTGGACCGTGCAACTTTTACATTGGAAGATGCATTTTTTTATGAGGGGCTTAAGCCGAGGGATATAAAATTCCTGCCTTATGACTTGCTGCATGAGACGAGTTTCTGCATGGAGGAGCAGTTCGTGCAGAAAGCGGGTGAATAGGATGGCGAACCGGGATTTTTCAGGAATAATGATGGGATGTCTTTCATTATAGCTCAAAGTGGCGTGAGCTAATCGACCATTCACGCGGAGCAACTCGGTTTTATCTAAAGACGGGTTGAGGGGAAGCAGAGGACTCCGTTTATCTATGGGTTTGGAGTTTGCTAAACAGGCCTTTTCCCGAGGAAAGTAGCGAGATTGGGTCAAAGCTAGGAGCCTGTATTTGCTATTACGGAGGTCATCATGGGAGAGAGAGATGGGATTATTTGACCTAACCTGTCTGACTCGGTCTCGAAGACACTGTATAAATTTAAAAACATACGCCATAACTCTAAGTGCGCGGGGAAACGAGGAGAAGCGATCAAGGATATCGTGATCTTCCTCTGTGGCATGTAATGCCTCGACTCGGCGCAATTCTGGAGGGGAGATATTTCGGGTGGCCGGTTTTGGCCAGGCTTCGGGTGGGCTTAATAGCCATTCCGGTCCATGCCACCAAAGCGAAGAGGCCGCTAAGTCCAGGGGTCTGCATCCTCTGGTGCCCAGATCTGCGGGGTTGTCTCTGCTGCCCACATGCCGCCAGGTGGCGTTTCCGACGAGATCTAAAATTTGTGCCGTGCGATTGGAAACGAAGGTCTTCCATGAATGAGGGGGTTTTTCTAGCCATGCCAAGACGATCTCGGAGTCAGACCATAGTGTCAGTTTCCTCTTAGATAGGTCGAGTTGTGACTGCACTACGGCGACCAGCTTCGCTAGGAGAAGGGCGCCGCACAATTCAAGTCGGGGTAAACTGGTGGTTCGGAGAGGCGCTACTTTGCCTTTGGAGACCAGCAGATGAGAAGAGGTCCTGCTACCATTCGTGGTTCGCACATATATGTTAGCGCAGTATGCTTTCTCGGAAGCGTCGCAGAAGCCATGTAGCTCGACTTGGTCGGCTGGGACAAAATCTACCCATCGGGATATTTGGATGCTAGAAATGGCTTGGAGATTGGTTGCAAATTGCATCCATTTCGTCAGACGAAGGGGCTTGACCTGGTCATCCCAGTCAGTTCCGTCCAGCCATAGTTCTTGTAGCAGGATTTTGGCTTGGATCATTATGGGCGTAAGCCATCCTGCGGGGTCAAACAATTTGGCAACTGCCGAGAGGATTTATCGTTTTGTACTGGCGGATGACGCTGGGATGGAATCAACGGTATACGAAAACGTATCGGGTAGAGCGTTCCACTGAATCCCGAGCGTTTTAGTGGTGCTTGCTGCTTCAAATTCTAGGAAGTTTGTGTCAAGCAGGTCGTCTTTGTTGGTGTTTTTCAAAATTTCAGGGTGGTTGGCTGTAATCTTTTTAAGTGGGAAGCCTGCCGAATTGAGCGCTTGGATGACTTGAGAGAGGTATTCTGCGGCTGAAGGGAGATCATGACCACCGGAAAGTATATCATCAACGTATGTTTCATTGCTTAATATGGGCACCGCTAAGGGGTGCATGGTTTGCACGTCATCTGCGAGCTGGTGAAGGGTACGTATAGCGAGGTAGGGGTGCGCAATTCAAACCAAACGTGACAGTTTTCAACTTATAATCTTGTATTTGGCTATTTGTAGATGGTCGAAATACGATTCGTTGATAGTCTTGGTCGTCTTTGTGCAGCAGTATCTGTCGATACATTTTTTCGACATCGCCGTTGAAGACAAATCGATACATACGCCACTTGAGGATCAATAACATCAAGTCGGGCTGGAGGGTTGGTCCGGTGTAAAGAACATCGTTCAGGGAATGTCCGGACCCCGATTTCTTCGAAGCATTGAAGACGACTCGGACTTTGGTCGTTCTTTTTTCGGGTTTTATAACCGCGTGGTGTGGGAGGTAGAACGACCAATATTTGTCTTGAGAAGATATCTCGAGGGAAGTTGTTTCTTCCATATGGTAGAGCTGGGATACTATCGATAGTACCGCCACTCGATAGTCTTCGAAACGATAGTTGAAAACATCGATAGTACTATCGTCGTGAAGGTATTGAATTGAAACGCTCAATTGCTTGAAAATTACATAATTAATAAATTTATAAAATTTATAAACTACTTTGTAAATTAAAGAGATTGTATATTTTTTTTTTGATTTGAGTGCACCAAAAATAACTTTTTATAATAATAAAATAAACTTATTAATTTATGCGTCTGAATTATATAACTTACATACATACCCTTGCATCCCCTTGAATAGCGACAGGCAAAATCTGAATTTATTTTTTATATGGCAAAATTAAAATCGGATTGTGTTTGTCCCTTTTAAAGTGCAAAGCAGTGAAATTCGCTATAAAAATACATTTATAATACTACAAAACAAAAAAAATAAAAGATATTCGTTTAAATTGACAACTCATTCGTATAAAAGTTCAACTGAGATCAAATGCGGAGGCGCAAATCAAAATCCATACAAGGGAAATTATTAACATTTTACCATTTTATAAGAAAACGAATATAGTACTGCTCAAAATAATAGCACCACAACATTTTTTAGCAGTTTTGACTACTTTTTTTGTTTATTTAGTGTCTGCTAATTTTTTATAAAAAATTTACAAAACATAAAAAACTACCATATAATTAAAAATTCAAGCTTTTTAATTCGAGTTTCTATAAAAATTTTGTGTAAGCAGTTTTATAGCTTATTAAATTTTACTATAACTCAGTGTAAG